TTGGCTGGAATGTGGTCACCTCGTATCTCGAGTCTGGAGCCCAGAACCACGGCCTGGACACCCAGCTGCCTCACGATGAGCGGTATGCTGTGGCCGAGGAGTACATGAACGTGGTGTACAAGCTGTGGGAGGCGTCCTGGCGAGACGACGCCGTCAAGCTCGACAAGAAGACCAACACGTACACGGACCCCACGCTCGTCAGCTACATTGACCACAAGGGCAAGTACTTTCCCTCTGTTCCTGGCCCGCACATTGTCCAGCCGTCTAAGCAGCGCACGCCCGTCATTTTCCAGGCTGGCATGTCTTCTGCCGGTCGGAAGTTTGCTGCGAAGCATGCCGAGGGCATCTTTATCACTGGAAACTCGCCCCAGAGCACCCGCAAGACCGCCGACGAGATGCGACGTCTCGCCGCCGAGTTTGGACGCTCGCCCGAGTCCGTCAAGCTGTTTGCGCTCATCTTCATCTGCGTCGACGAGACCCAGGAGAAGGCCGAGGCCAAGTACGAGGAGCTGAAGAAGTACGTGGATCTGGAGGGCGCGCTGGTGCTGTTTGGAGGCTGGTTTGGACTCGACGTCTCTGTCTACGACGACGACCAGGACCTGCGAAAGGTGACGGACAACAAGGTGCTCGCTGGAGCTGTTTCGGCCTGGGCCAACACCTCTCGAATTGGCCCAGACGTGCTCTGGAACAAATGGCGGGTTGCCGAGGAGTTTGCCTTTGGCGGACGAGGCGACGTGATCGTTGGAGACCCCAAGACGGTTTGCGATCGCCTGGAGAGCTGGGTGGAGGACGGAGACGTGGATGGTTTCAATCTCGTTCACGCTATTGTCCCTGGCACCTACAGAGACGTGGCTAAGTGGGTTATTCCTGAACTTCAGCGTCGAGGACGGTTCTGGGACGACTACGACGTTCCTGGCGGCACTTTGCGAGAAAACCTGTTTGGAAAGGCTAAGATTCCAGACAGCCATCCTGCTGGACAGTACAAGTGGGCTGCTGGAAAGAATCCTCTTCAGAAGGAGAAGGAGGAGAAGGAGGAGGATCAGAAGACGGAGGAGAATGGCAATGGACACGAGAATGGTGAAGAGCCCTCGGCTAAGCGACCCAAAACGGAGTAGTTGTACATACTATAACACGAATCTATTAATGGTGTTGTTTGCAGCAAAGAACTGGGCAAGGTTAGTACGGAGTACATACTTGTAGTACTTGTATAAGCAGAAGAACGTAATGGGGAAGGCAATGAATTACTGGTATTGAGGTAGAAGGGTGTATTATTAACCACATCCAGAAATACTCAATTGTTACCACATCCAGAAATGTCTCGGCTTGGCCCCACCAGACCTCGGTTCTTTGAATTAATGCCCCACTGAACGGATATTATTGACATGGAAGATAAGGCAGCGCAGTTCAGCACCATGACGCAAACTTCCAAAATAGTGCTAAAGAGAGCCCCATGAACGCAGAGCTGTATGAGCAAGTTGAACGGACGAATGGATCTTCTGTTTTGCCTCCGAACACGCAGAAGTGTCTCACTTACGCCCATTTTTTCGGTCCGTCTGTCTCATGTCGTGCTTCGAGGTCCACCTGTCTCTTTGTATGTCAAGTGAGGTGCTAGGAGCGGGGTACGCAAAAAAGAAGGGGAGGATGTAACCATGCCAACGCCCCTGGTAGCCGTCCAGCGTCAAAATGGAGGACACTACGCGCCTGTCAGTGTCTATTTTGCCACTCTCTGTCAGATTTAGCCCATTTTCCGCCAATCAAATGAGACATGAACTAGACAGCTCCCTGTCAGACACCTCCAGGTAGGGTTGTCGCTCTTGCTGCCGGCATGCAAGTGTACCCCACACATTGCAAAGTCTATAATATACATATAGGGCGAGGTGGGCGAGAGCTCTTCTGTCAGCTAACACCATGATCGTCCTCGAAACTCTTGTTGGCCTGGCGATTTTCGTCGCCGTCTATCTCGGCTTCCACAAACTCGACTATGTCCGTCGAAAACGCAAGTTCGACACCTACGAAATGCCTGTAGCAGGCAACGGCTTTCTGGGCTGGAGAGGCCTGAAACACATGCTGACTGTCTTCAGCACTGACGAAGGACCTGCGGGATGGAGAAAGGTGTTTGAGGAGTACGGACGAACTGTGCGATACTACGCTTTCCCGTCCAACACCATTCTGACCCACGATCCCGACAACATCAAGGCCATGCTGGCGACGCAGTTCAAGGACTTTTCGCTGGGGCTGCGAAAAGAGGCGCTTGCTCCGTCGCTGGGATACGGCATTTTCACGCTCGACGGGTCCTCCTGGTCCCATTCGCGAGCTCTGCTGCGTCCGCAGTTCTCCAGAGAGCAAATCTCGCGTCTGGAGTCCGTGGAGTCCCACGTGCAGGAGATGATGAGCTGCATCGACAAGAACGACGGCAAGTTCTTCGACATCCAGCAGCTCTTCTTCGCTCTGGCCATGGACACAGCTACAGACTTTCTTCTAGGCGAGGCAGTCGGAAACCTGCAAGAAATCCTGCATCCGGAAATGCCCCGGGTCGGAACAACCTTTCAGGTCGCTTTCGATCGGGCCCAGCGACTCGGCTCGCTGCGAATCATCCTCCAAGAGGCCTTCTGGGCCGTTGGCAGCGTTTTCTGCCGCAAGGACTTCGTCCAAACCAACAAGCACATCCACGAGTTTGTAGACAACTACGTGGACAAGGCCCTGCTTGCGCGAAAGGAGAAGTCCGAAATCTACACCAACCCCGACAATTACATCTTTCTGTACGAGCTGGCTCGAGAAACCACAAACAAGACGACTCTGCGGGACCAGGTGCTGAACATCCTCATCGCTGGCCGAGACACCACGGCTTCCACGCTCTCGTGGGTCTTTTTGGAGCTTGCCAAGCAGCCCCGAGCCTTCCACAAGCTGCGACAGGCTGTCCTGGACGACTTTGGCACCTCCTGCGAAGAAATCTCCTTTGAGAGCCTCAAGAAGTGCGACTACCTGCGCCAGGTGCTCAACGAGACCCTTAGACTATACCCCGTGGTTCCTGTCAACCTGCGAGTCGCTGTCAGAGACACCACTCTTCCTCGAGGAGGAGGACCCAACGGCGACAAGCCCATTTTCGTCGCCAAGGGACAGAAGGTCAACTACGCCATCTACTGGACCCAGCGAGATCCCAAGTACTGGGGTCCTGACGCCGAGGAGTTCCGACCTGAACGGTGGGAAACTGCCGCGGGAGGAGCCATTGGCAAGGGCTGGGAGTATCTGCCGTTCAACGGAGGTCCTCGAATCTGCCTTGGCCAGCAGTTTGCGCTCACGGAGATGGGCTATGTTCTCACCAGACTGCTGCAGGAGTACAGCGACATCAGCCTCGAGCCTCTGGAGGGTCCCTTCAAGGTCCGACACTCTCTGTCCATGTGCGCAGCCAACGGTATCAACATTGCTCTGACCAGAGCAAAGAACGAGTAGGGTATTTAATGAGTCAAATGTTTATTGGTATCTGTGTAGAGTGTAAGAGTGAGTTGCAGAAGATTTGCGTTGTGCCTTGGACTAAACATGCTGTAGAACACTTAAAACAGGTAAAGGAGAAAATTTTCTTTGACAGGTACCATAATTGAGGCATGATGAACACATCTATCGCTCATAATCCCCCAAAACACCTCAATTTTGTGGAGTTTTTTGCGTCAGAATTCATTCGTTAGCGCTCCAACAAGGTTCATGGCAACTTCCCCAAAGGTCCCTTGGCCCAGTTGGTTAAGGCGTCGTGCTAATAAGAAATTAGCCTCTTTGCAACGCGAAGATCAGCAGTTCGATCCTGCTAGGGACCATCTTTTTTTTCATGTCTACATTTTTTTTCAGACCTCTGTTTGCTGGAGAAAATACCCTATTGTCTTCTCTCTTTTTTGGCTAAAATTTGCACCAGATCTAGCTCACTTTTTAGTAATGCCAACTACAATAATAGAGTGTGAGCTAATGGTGAAAAATAACCTAACTTTTCAGCCAACAACGTTCTCTAACGCTCGAAAAAAAAAGGAACTGCTGCAGGCAAAATAATTTCAGCCAGTGCCAAACGTACAGCGAAAAAAATGATCATGCCGAGGATCGAACTCGGAGCCTCCCCGGTGTGAGCGGGACGTGATAACCATTACACCACACGACCAGTGTTTTTTGGGGTCATTTTCTGCGTATAGATGATGAAAAATGGCTAAAAACGCGGGCGAAAATTACGCTGATTTGGGCTCCAAGAGCTATGAAAATAGAATAATCCTTTTATTCTGAGTCTCAATATTGTCCCTCTTCATTCTTGAGACTCATTGATTCCCAGGGATCCAGTTATGATGATGTTCATCTCAGGCTGATTCACAGAAGAGTTGGGCGTGAAATGTCTCCCACGTGACCTCCAATGAGGATTGTGAAAAGCAGACGTCTATGTTAGCATTGTTGCAGTGGGAATACGTCTTAATTACTGTTATAGGGCTCGTCTTGAGAGTTTTATTTAGCACAAACGTCCACCTTTGAAGGTCAACTGGGAGACCAACTCGTTGGCAGCTTCAACTCTCTCTGAAGTCTATGAAACTTGATTGGTGTATTTGTGGGACTGATCTAGTCAGTCCCATCTGGGTCTGGCTTCTATTTACAGCCTCTAACGCGATATAAATGGCCGGCGTTTTTCGAATTCTTTGAGTTTTAATATGCTAGATTTCGAAAAAAGCAAGTTTCCGATATAGTGTAGGGGCTATCACATCACGCTCTCATCTTGAGAACCGTGGAGACCGGGGTTCGATTCCCCGTATCGGAGTGTTTCTTTTTTGCTGTGTTTTTGTATGTGGTTACTGGTACAGACGCCTACATTTTTTCAAAATTTCGGTGAGATCTGTTTTTGTTAAGGTTTCTTTGTTCTGATTACAGTTTCGAGTGAAGAAACTCAAAAAACTATAATGCAAGGGGTTGGCAACACGTTTCCATTCCAAAGAACTGATGTAAAAAAGGACGGGAGAAGCTGGAAGCAAAAAAGATGGCGACATCCGCAGGATTCGAACCTACGCGGGGAAACCCCAAGAGATTTCTAATCTCTCGCCTTAACCGCTCGGCCAGGATGCCAGATTTTTCTTAGAGAGAAAACGTGCCCACACAACTGTGATGGTTGTAAAAAAAAAACAGGCGAAAATTCACGTGTAAACGACGTTAGGGTGGTCAGGTTGTGTTTTTAACGCGTAGATGAGCCATCCGGTGCATTCTGGAGGCATTCCGGGCTATAGTGGATTAGATACAGTGTGCCGAACCCAGGGCTGATCGTGGGTATACAACTGCCGTTTATCCCCCGCAATAGTCTTTTATGACATGGAACTTGGAAATCGACATCAAGAGGAAAGATATGGTCATATCGAGGTCCCAGATCAACGTGCCACTCCATGCCAAACGTCCAGACGTGTTTTCAAACTGCTTCAAGTCCCTGTCTTCTTCGTATACGATTCTGCTCTTGGCCCAACGTTAGCTGCATAATTAAGAGAACACGTCAAAACGCTGCATGCGCACCCGAGCTAAAAAAAAACGCAGAAAAAACTGCAAAGCTCTTTTCGCAGGATGAATATGGTATTCAAAAGCAAAAAGAAGTGGGCCCAACCGGGAATTGAACCCGGGACCTCTCGCAAATTGCCTAGGACACCCTAAGCGAGAATTATACCACTAAACCATCGGGCCGCCAATAGTGACGTCTATAGGCGCGGTGGCCAACGCCATCCAAAATCTGTCAAAAAACGCGGGCAACGATTCTAGGCATTTTAGAGGGATACGGAACGCGAAGACACATCAAGGAGCAACTCAAAGCCAGAAATACACAGATGACGCTGTTTCCTTCTCCATGTAGGTGTTTTCTAAGGGCTTGATCCGTGCCATTACGGGTGTGGAAGATTAGAGTATGCCTAAAGGGGAAGTTTCTGAGATGTTGGAGTGCAGTGTCTCAATAAGAGTGCTAGATACGACTCTAATCACTCAGAATGTATCAATAATCACGTCTGGCCAGCTACAGAGAAAGTTCTCCGTGTCCGAGACATCACCAATGCTTGATATTGTATGGAGAGAAACAGGAAACGGATCCTAAACGGAGGAGACCATGCATACAGCGAGAACAAACCAAGCGGAACTCACACACCTATAGGATGACCCTTACACCACTTCCATCGACGTCTCTGTTCACCATGACCAGTGATCCAGCTGACGTATGTAGTGGTAAGTATACGAATGCAAGAGAGACAGAAAGAAACAGGAGAGGTTTAAGAGAAACATAAAAAGACGCAACCCCCTCGATAAAGGCAACCAATACTGAACCCTCCACTTCTGACTTAGATGACCAATCTCTGATTTCCGACTCTTTAGGCTTTACCACACATCTCCGAGGTGGCGAAGTAAAGGGTCCTGCAAGCAGCAACCAAGAGAGAAGGGGAGATATGCATCGAACGGCCACTCAAAACCACACTGCTTCTCTTCAGTTACTTAGAGTCTCGAAAAGTTACCCCAACGTGCTCCACAGAGTTCAATGCAAGAGGAGAATAGGGTTCTCCCCACAATCTTGTCCAGATAGACGCGGCGATGTCATCAGCCATTGTTGCTTAGATCGCGAGAAATCGGTGATGAAAAATCGATAATCGTGGAGCATGACACATTGTGTTTTGATGCATCCAAAGAAGATGTTCAAAAGTGCACATCCTGGGCCCCCACGAGCCCTCGAAGGCACCCCATGTGATAAACTCTAGATGAGCCCGTTACTCTAGCGAACTTAAGAGACATTCACATGCGGGGCATCTCCAAGTATAAGTGCAACTAGCAGGTTCAGAGACGTTACAGGCACAACCGCAATGGCGCACCTTACCAAAGAATACTACGAGCCCTACCACCACGACGTGATCCTCGGTGGCAAGCGATGGCACTATCTGGACATTCCTCCTGAGGGCAAGGACAATGGCCGAGTGCTTGTTCTGGTCCACGGATTCCCCGACTTTTGGTACGGATGGCGACACCAGATTCCCGTCTTCCGAAAGCGAGGCCATAGAATCATTCTCCCCACTCTGCTGGGCTTCCCCGGCTCCGAGGTGCCTGAGCCTCCCTCCATGGAGGACTTCGAGGAGAACGAGGAGGGCATCAACATCTACACGGAGCTGGGCCAGGAGGACGACTGCCGGGAGCTCAACTGCTACGGCTTCAAGTTCTTTGCCGACTGCATGGCCGAGCTGCTCAAGAAGCTCAACATCAAGTCCGCAACCTTCCTGGGCCACGACTGGGGTGCCCACTATGTCCCCAAGGTCTGGGCCTACCACCCCGAGATTGTCGACGCCCTCTCGTCGGCCTGCTGGTACTACCAGGTCCCCGAGCCCGAGTGGGTGCCTCTGACCGAGTTCTCGGACAAGTGGCCCACCACCAAGTACCAGCTGCAGTTTGGAGGCGACGCCGTCAACAACATTGGCCCCGGCATGATCCCCTTCTTCCTGCGACGGTCGTACACCGTGGGAGCCAACTTTGACGGCGAGCCCGACCCCGAGGCCCCCATGCACATGACCGAGGAGGAGTTTGCCGTGTACGAGGACCACTTCACCAAGGAGAAGCGATCTCTGGCCGGCCCTTTCACCTACTACCGATCCCGAAAACTCAACTGGGAGCAGGACAAGGAGAACTTCCTCGATAAGGGCGCCACCAAGAAGGATCTGACCGTTAACGTTCCGTACCTGTACATTGGCTCCACCAACGACATTGCTCTGATCCCCGAGATGTCCATGCACCTGGACGAGTACGTGGAGAAGGGCAAGCTGACCCGAGAGCACGTGCCCACGTCGCACTGGGCTCTGTTCGAGGCCCCTGACCAGGTCAACAAGATCTACGTCGACTGGCTCGACAAGCTGGACAAGACCAGCAAGCTGTAATGAACGATATATAACTTTGATGAATATTTAACGCGAGCCCGTATCTCATACTCTGTTTGTAAGCCGTCTCATTAGATTCAGTAAGCCTCACTTGCTGGCACACACATAAGCCACAAGCACGAAACTTGCACCAGAGAAGTGTTTATTGGTATTGCCGTTCAGAGGGCTTAGAAGCTTCCTTGTATTTCCGACCGTTGTACCAAGACTTGTTCCTGGTCCTATGCACACCTGCACTGATTACAAATTGCCACAAACACGATCACATCACCACAAATTCATCTGCCACATGTGGCTTTCGTTCCTCCACCTGTGGCGTATCATATTTCATTAGCGCTCGAATCACTGGTCCCCTTTCCCCCGGGCTGAAATCACATTAGCTTTTTTGTGTTTTTTGCCAATGACGAGATGCAGCCACAAGCCACGATAATGCAATGGGGTGCAGTAGAGATATGCATAGGCGAGGAGTAGATTGGGCATAATAGACAAGATGAGGGGAGAGAAATAATGATTAATTTGGGCGAAAAACACTGGCTCTAGAAAAGGTGGGCAGACGAAAACGGAAGCCGTTCAGGCACACCAAAATTTCCTGTCCCGACGCTACGTCGACTAGCGTCCCTGTCGAAAACGTCATCTCAGAGTTGTGGCTTGGGGCGGAGATGGCGGAGTGGCATTTCCACAATCTTGTGTAATTGTATAAGAAGGGAGTGTACAGGATTTCTGTGTAGCTAGCAATTTCGCCTTTGAATCCACCATGCCCGCCGTCAAAGTTCCCATTCGACAGGTACAGCTAGATATCCCTTCCCTAGTGGAGAGAAAGCGAGTTCGAGAAGCTCATCTCGAGTCCCCTGGACCTGAGGACGAGCAACTATTCGACAAGAAGGTCAAGGTCGAGGTTGAGGAGGAGGCTGGAGAGAGTGTGTCGGACGAGTCGGACTCCTCGGACACCACGACTATCGACATCTCCAACCACACGGTCATTCTTCTGGACAAGAAGGGCCCTTATACCCACTCCATCACCTCGCACACAAGATACACACCTGCATCAGATGAGGTGCTAGTGCGCAACAAAGTTATCGGGCTGAACCCCATTGACTGGAAGGCTGTTCGATATGGCTTTGGAGTGTACTCCTTCCCCTGGATCAACGGACGAGAGTCTGCTGGCATTGTCGAGAGTGTTGGAGAGAGCGTGACAAGAGTGAGTCCTGGAGACGAGGTGATTGTCACTTCCACCTCCTACCGAGACAACCGAACCTCCACCTTCCAGCAGTACACAATCGCCAAGGGCGACAACCTGATCAAAAAGCCCTCCTCCATCAGCTTCAATGCCGCCGCAACTCTGGGTGTTGGTGCTGTCACTTCCACTCTTGCATTTGCGGACAATCTTAACATTCTGCCTCTGGACGAGCTTCCCACTCCCAAGCCCTCTCCCAAGGAGTCTGAGTCCTGGGTCGTTGTCTGGGGAGGCGCCTGTGTCACTGGCATCTACGCCATCCAGCTGGCCAAGCACCTCGACTTCAACGTTCTGGCTGTTTCCAGCAAGGAGTCTTCTGAGTACGTCAAGTCGTTCGGAGCTGACGTTGTTCTGGACAGACATGACATTGCTGGCAAGGAGCAGGACTCTATCATCGCTGCCATCCCCGAGGACCACACAATCTCCCACGGCTTTGACTGCGTGGGAAGCACCAGCAGCAGTCATTTGGCTGGAGTCCTGAGTCGGCAGAACCAGACCTCGGAAAAGGTGCCTCTGGTGTGTCTCGTCAAGTCTCCTTCCAAGCCCGACGAACTCGCTCGGTTCGACGAAGACAAGGTCCGAATCGAGTCTGTGCTGATCAAAAAGTTCCACGAGGACCTGGATCACGGCCTCAAGGTTTCGCGATACCTGGAACAGCTTCTGGAGCTGGAGATTCTGCGACCCGCCAAGCACCAAGAAATCGCAGGAGGCCTTCAATTGGGCGTGATTGAGGGTCTTCGAAAGCTCGAGCATGACAACATTCGAGCACAAAAGCTGGTAGTGCCTGTGTAGCCTAGAACCGTATAAACAATACATGAATTGAGATAAGACTGCAAACGAATAGCCTAGTAAGACGGGAAAAGCATGTGGTAGGAATACAGAGCAAAAGAACCACGCCATAGTACCAGCCACAGCCACCTACCTTTCCTCTAGCTTTGCCCTCTCAGCCATGACGC